ATTGAAATTTGATTATGTTAGAACAAGAAAAAGTAGCTCGCGCGAGCTCATGTAACATAAATGTTGAAAAACCATTGGTTTTGTGGGAGTCGGACAGCGCGCGCGGGATGAAATTTGGACATTTTTTTTTGAAAAACCATTGGGTTTTTGATGTTTTTATGTTGAAATCGCTACGAAACCTAAGGTTCTGGAAGGATTTCGTCTTGCGCGCGCGAATGTCCACTTTACCTTATTTTTTGCAAGGGATTATTGAAATTTGATTATGTTAGAACAAGAAAAAGTAGCTCGCGCGAGCTCATGTAACATAAATGTTGAAAAACCATTGGTTTTGTGGGATTCGGACAGCGCGCGCGGAAGGACATTTTGACAAAAAAAAACCATTGGGTTTTTGATGTTTTTATGTTAAAATCGCTACGAAACCTAAGGTTTTGGAAGGATTTCGTCTTGCGCGCACGAATGTCCACTTTACCTTATTTTTTGCAAGGGATTCTTGCAATTTGATCAAGTAAGAACAAGAATTTTCATTTTATAGTGTTTTTTGCAAGGGAAAACGGATTACAACAAAACAACCGGATCCGGTGACAATCCACTTTTCTGAAGCTTTCGCTAGAAAATGAAGGAAATGAGGCTGCGGCCTAGGTTTTGGAGGGGGGTCGCGCACCAGGGGTCTCAACAATAATATTTCTTTAGAAGTAATAATATTCAACAACAACAACAACAACAACAACAACAACAACAACAGCAGCAGCAACAACAACAACAACAACAACAACAACATCAACAACAACAACAACAACCACAACAACAGCAACAACTAAAGCAACAACAACAGCAACACCACCAACAACAACAACAGCAAAAACAACGAGTAGTCTAAGACTGTTCGATATTACTTGCCCGCGTGTCATTAAAAACGAGTTCTCCACACCCTCGATACCCGCCCTTTTTGTTTTCGATCACGCCCCCTTTGGGGGGATGCTTTCTCTTTGCGGGGGGCAGCGGGCTTAAACAGGCGGGCGAACCTGAAAGGGCGGACAATCCTTCGTGGGCGTACATGCGCCCGCCATTGGAATTGGTGTGGGCCCTGCAAGAACAGGAGGGGGAAAACGAGGAAGAGTGGGAGGAAGGGAGGGGGAGGGACGAAGGAAGAGGGAAAACGAGAGGAGAGAAGGACCGAAGAGGGGGCGGTTGATTAGAGACAGACAGAAAGGGAGAGAGAGAGAGAGGAAAAAAAACAAATAAGAAACAACAACATGAAAAACATATAAGAAAAGTAGAGAAACACACACATATATAGAGAGAGAAGAGAGAGAGAGAGAGAGAGAGAGAGAGAGGGAGAGAGAGAGAGAGAGAGAGAAAGCAAGAAATAACAACAATGGGAGGGAGGAGGCAGGAGAGAGGAGGGAGAAGGGAGGAGGGAGAGGAAAGAGAGGGGATAGGGCAAAAAGGCAGACGGGTGAGGGAAACGAGGAGGGGGAGAGAAGGGAGGAGAGGAGGGAGGAGCTAGGAAGGAGAGGGAGGAGGAGCAGGAAGGTAAGAGCGTGAACGTTCGAGGGGGTCCTCGGCGAAAGCGCCGTTCCTGAAGGAAGTCTCGGGCGGGAGCCCACGACGGGCGGGCGATTCCCTGACGGGCGGGTTGGGCGGGTCGGACATTCAAGCGGGATGCCTGAGTATGGCGAGAGCGCGATGACTAAGTAAATTGTAGCGGCGTCCTTGGCGCGGCGTGTTCCCTGAGCGTCGAAAGCGCGATTTCTAAATCAATTGCATGGGAGTCGCAGGCGAGAGCGCAATTCCTGAATAACATGTGAAAGGGTTCTCTCGCGGGAGCGGGGGTCTTGACTAAACTGCGAGGAAAGTCTTGATTCAATTGCGAGGAAGTCTCAAGCGGGAGCACCGTTCCTGATGAACTTGTGAGGAAGCCTCAGATGGGAGCGGGGGTCCTGACTAAATAGCGAGGAAGTCATCGGCGGGAGCACCGGTCCTGCGTAAATTGTAAGGAAGTCTCACAAGCGGGGGTCCTGAGTAAATTTAATCTCTCAGGCGGGAGCCGTTGTTGTTGTAATCCGGGGGGCCAGGGGCCCCGGCCAGCAGGGGCACAAATTGAGCACCAAGACTTCCCCTATGAAAAAACAATGTGCGAGCGTCGAGGGGCACACTTTCATTGAGAACAAACAGTATGCACCGGTAAGGGGGGACCAACAATGATTATCCGTCAGACATGAGAGTTCAACAACAACAACAACAACAACAATCATTTTACCCGAACGCTCAGTGTTCTCCCCAGTGCCAGGGTTTTCATGCGACGCCAGCCAATACCCCCACTTCGTGGGGGGGCAATGCAAGCTCTACCAAACATCCACACGACTCTCGGGAACCACCCACACCCAGCTTCCCGCCCTATGACGTCAGGACACTTCACTTCGTGGCGCGCGGACGATCGTGGATACTACACTGGCGTGGAGTACACACCCGCAGAGGTTGATCACTTGTTTGGGCCCCGCATGTGCCCCGCATGGTGCATTTGTTGCGTATGACATACATAGTACAGAGAGACAGAGAGAGAGAGAGAGAGAGCAAGACAGAGAGCCAGTGGAGAGAGAGATAGAAAGAGATTCGTCACATGTGTGAGGCAACCTGAGAAGATGTGGTACACGGTACACGTGAGATGGTACGCAGTGCCAAGATAGTTGGTCACATTTTTGAGGCAAATTCCTGGGAAGGCGATTACACAAGTAGATGTGTTACGTATGATTCGCATCTTGAAATTATTGAAATCACATTATGTTTGGCAGGATTTCGGCACGCGCGCGCGGCGGCCGCGCGCATGTGCACTTCGTGTCATTTTTTGCAAGGGATGGTGGCCCTCGTAGGCTCGCAACCGTTGTTGCAGAAGGTCGAAGCACCTGAAAAGGTTCCTCGCAAAGGCCCTTTTAACAGAAATGTTTAAAATCTGGTGGGTTTCCTAGGAATCCGCAAGAGCGCGCGGAAGGACATTTTGACAATTTTTTATTTAAAAAACCATTGGGTTTTTGATGTTTTTATGTTGAAATCGTTCCGAAACCTAAGGTTTTGGAAGGATTTCGTCTTGCACGCGCGAATGTCCACTTTAGCTTATTTTTTGCAAGGGATTCTTGAAATTGGATTACATTTGAACAAGAAATTTCATTTTATAGTGTTTTTTGCAAGGGAAAACGGGGGGGAACAAAACAACCGGATCCGGTACTAATCCACTTTTCTGAAGCTTTCGCGAAAAAATGATGAAAATGTAGCTGCGGCCTAGGTTTTGGAGGGGGGTCGTGTACCAGGGGTCCCAACAATAATTATTCTTTAGAATTAATAATGTTCAACAACAACAGCAACAGCAACAGCAACAGCAACAACAACAACACACGGAACAACACACACAACAACACACACAACAACTCACACAACAACACAAACAACAACACACACACAACAGCACTCACAACACACACACACACACAACAACACACACACATACACACACACACACACACAACAACACACACAAACACACGCACACACACACACACACGCACACAACACACAACACACAACACACAACACTCAACACTCAACACTCAACACACAACACACAATCACAACACGCACACATACACAAACAAACATACACACAAAGCACACACACACATCACATCACGTTTACGAACATTAAAGCTAATATCTGAAGCCTACGGCCCGGCGCCGCCGTCGGCCCCAAGCAAATCCTCGGGCAAACTGCAGAAAACGCAGCCGCCGAGCCGCGGACACAGCCGTATTCGCAAAATCACAAAAAAAAACCCATAAAATACCATAGTTTGCTCATATCAAAGCAAAATTGCTAGATGGTTCGTAGGAAATTGCTAGGATGGTGGCTTCGCGCGCATGCATCGGCACGATGCTATTAACGAGAATGCGAACTCCATAAAACTCAAAGAGTGGCTTTAAAGCAACGAAGAGCAATTTTTTTAAACAACTTATGACCACCAAAGTGCGGCGACTTGTGATAGTCGCCAGTGCAGCGCGTCGAGTACATCCACAAGCGCTCCGAAAAATGAGAGATCGTCCTGGTGGGTGTGGGGGGGCTTGTCTCTTGAACATTAAGAGACTCAAGACATCCCACAAATGTTCGGAAAACGACCCTGGTTTCAAAAATTGGCACGCCCGAGCCGGAGACGGAAGTAATTTGTTTCTTGCAACACATGAGTCGAAAGAAAACAGCGGCCGCTGAATGGCAGGCGATCCGTATCTTAAAGTGTCAACGTCCGCGGAGACAGCGTCACCGAATCCTTCCCAAGATGGGCAATAACTTCGTAGAGCGCGAAGTCGGGCCCATATTCACATCCCCATGTTATCTCGGCCCTCCTGAAACACAGTCCGCTGACACAAAATAACCTCTGAGTCACGGGACCGCGTGGTCACCGCAATGTCTGGGACTCCCGAAGCCGCGGGCGACCGAGAAGGCCCTGGCCCCCAAGGTTGGCGCACCCGCGGGAACGTCGAATGTGAATCCGTGTTGTGGTTCACCATTTGAAGATTCAACCCTCGACAATTCTTCGAAACGGCATTTCAGGTTTCACCCTTTGCCCTCCGCCCACAGAAAATGCTCGGTTTCCTTCCCTCCCTCGCACTGACAGCGCAGACTCTCTGGGAGTCCGACGGCGCACCGCAGGAGCGAAATTCATGCCCCCAGGCAACGACGGCCAGTCGTCCTGCGTGTGCCACTGCGTCAACGACTAACGCGGAGGAGGCGGCGGGCAACCAACTGCGTCGACATCATTGCTGCAGGCGGGCGAAAACCTCCCCGCGGAGCAGCTTCAGCTGGCGTGCAGGGGAGCCCGCTGGACGAACGCAGCGCCTCAACTACGAAGCGTCGCTTGCTTTCGCATCCGCCTTCTGCTCCTCATCTCATTCATCATCCGACCATTCCTCCATCCTTCCTTCTCCCCGCAGCACACAAAACGAAGCAAACGAACTGCCTGGAACTGGAAAATGTCAACGATTTTCGAGTTGTTCCTCTGCAGGTTGCCCGACCATGCCTGTGCGCAGCGGCCGTCTGTCGCACCTGCCTCCCGTTCTGATGCCCGCCAGCTTCGCACCCACGCAACCACTACGCATGCCCAGGTGGACGGTACGACTCTGGATGAACAATCGGAAGCTTTCGGCGATGAGCAGCAAGAACAAAAACACGAGGAGGGTAACAACATGGGTAAACCAATCGGACACATACGGAACTCACGTGTGTTACATCGAATGCGCGATGCACGCACCCGGAGCTAGACGCGCTGAGCCAAGGGCCAATCCAATACAACCGATCGGAATCGCAGCGATCGAGCCAACTGTCGTGGGAGGACACTCGCAAGACCACGCCAGAAACAGGCATCGATCCTCAAACTCTCCTGCTCGTCCACCGCCCTCGTCAACTTTCTCCTCGATCGCATTTAAGATACACCGAAAACGGCACTTCGCGTGTCCCATCCTTGATCGAGCTCGGTTGGCGCCATACGCAGCAACGGAGATGGACATCTGATAATCGTGCTGTTTCTGCTAAAACTTATCCTCCCCGTTCGTTGTTTTGCTTCCCTCCCCCTCTCGCACTCAGTGCCGAGGCGTACATTAGAATTACAGCAACAGTTCACCACTAATGTTCGGAGGTCCGCGCAGATATCTTGCCTACCCCCCTCCGCCTGCGCGCGAAACGTGGGGGCGAGGCTAAGATTTCGGCGCCGGCCCAAGACATCCGCGCGGACCTTGAACGCTTATGCGTATACCTTCCTAGTCTTCCAAAGATGATGCGGATCGGCAAACAATATGCACGCCTCCGTTGCTATCTGCACGTCGCTCTTGTCGTTCGTGGAAGGATCCTGGTGCCGGAGGGGGACCGGCCGAGAGTGCGCAGGAGAAGCAGAGGGGGAAGGGCGAGGACCAGGAGTCCTCGGCTCTGGGCGGCGGAGCGGACGAGCGGGAGAGGAGCACAGGCAGGAACTCCCACTGCACCCCACAGGCTCGAGATCGAACGGGCTGAGCGCTGATGATCCGCCACCGTGCCCTGGGGCACGAGCTGAAGTGTCCTCGGGTAAAGGCTGCAAAGAGGTAGGCGTGCTGGTGGCCTTGCCTCTGCCGGCGCGCCAGTGGCGCGCAGCCCCTGATTACTTAGATAATTCAGCCGAAAGAGGCCGCCGCGGCCAAGCCTGGCCACGGGCAGCAGGTCAGGCGGCAGGCGGCCGCCGGCCAAGTCCAGCCAGCCTTGGTAGTCCCCAAACGTGGTGGTGACAACACCTGGCGGTGAGTCTCGGGCGATTTGGCGTCACCACCCGGTTTGGGGACTCGTACGGTTTTCCGAGGATGTCCCGAACACTGGTGGGTCCAGGAGTCACAACACCCGGTGGTGACCCCGTGTCCCCAAACCCAGCGGTGACCTTTTTTGGAATTCCAGGTCGCCACCTGGTATCTCACCACCCGGTTTGGGGGTTCCCAACAGCCGTCCAAGTGTCCTCGGGTCCTTTGCCTAACCCCTCACGCCTCGGTCCTCAAGCCAGCGGCTTCTTCGGCATGCCCGGCACCCAGACTCTCGGCGCTCTCGGGCCTCGGCGCGCGCCCTCTGGGGCGCGTCGGTTCCTGCCGCGTGACTTTCTCTGGGCCCAGAGAGGCTCCGAAGCGGGCCAAGAGCCCTAAGAGTGGCCCACGAGGGCCCTAAGAGTGGCCCACGAGGGCCCCCAATCACTGGACGATCGGTCCAGGACGCCCAGGGTGGCCTCTAGCCGCCCGAAAAAGCGCCCAAGATGGCCCAAGAGGCCTCCAAGAGCCTTGAGGTTCATTCGGTGTTTCAATGTGTTGGGGCTTCGTTGCTGTTCGAGCTTCCGACGCTGCAAGACGTCCCCAAAGGCCCCCAAGACCTCCCCGAGACGGTCCCAGAGGCCCCCAAGAGGGCCCCAAGACGGCCCAAGAGGGCCCCAAGACCCAAAAGGTGCCCAAGACGGCCCCAAAAGGGGCCCAAGATGAGGCACACGAGCCGAAAATCCGAGCCTTTCGCTCCAAGAGAAATCCAGGAGGCCACAGGAATACACCAAGAGGGGGCTTGGGCCGTCTTGGGGCCCTCCGGGGCCCTCTAGGGGACCTCCTGTGGCTCTCTTGGGGCTCCCTTGGAAATCTGTTGGGGTCCTCAGGGGCCTCTCTTGGGCCGTCTTGGGAACCTCTTGGGCCGTCTTGGGGTCGTCGTGGGGCCATCGTGGGGCCGTCTTAGGGGCATCTCGTGCCGTCTTGGGGCGATCTTGGGGGCCTCTCTTGGGCCATCGCGGACGCTGCGAAGACCAAAGAAGCGGATATGCAACAACAATTCGAAACGCACGTTTTCCTGCAAGGAATGGGACGATATTTGCCTCTTGGGCGTCCTTGTGGAGGCCTCGCGAAGCGTCTCAAGGGCCTCTTCGGCCGTCTTGAGGCCATCTGGGGCCCTCTTTCCTCCTCTCGGGCCGTCTTGGGGCCAACTTGTTGTTGATGTAGCCTGAGCGCTCTTGGGGCTGTCTTGGGCCATCCTGGGGCCCTCTGGGAGGCTCCTGGGCTGACTTGGGCCGTCTACGGCCGAGCATGACCGAGAAGTTGGCCATTCGGTTTAATTCGGGCATGTCCTATAGGCGGATGTTGGAAGAAAATGCAAAAGTAGTCAAAACATTTTCAAATGGTCCACAACATCGAAAATTACCCGACGATCTGTTCTACTATTTCTGAAGATTCCTCCTGCAGAAGGACATGCCCGGCATAACATAAGATTTGGGGCCACCGAGACCAAAAGCCTCCCCCCCCCCTTTGCGACTTCTCCCGACTACGGGATCGCGACGCTGCGCGCGCTTCCCGTCATCCGCCGCCCCGTCGACTTACCTAGAAGAACGAAAGCATCACCATAAGCTTTTGGCGCTCCGCGCGGGTTTCTTGGACCCCCCTCCCTGGCGTGCGGAGCGCACCAGGGGCGGCGACGGAGGCGCCGCAGGGGGGTCCCAGCGCGGATCCAAGAAGTCCGCGCGGAGCGTCAAAAGTGTATGTTTATGCCCCTTTCTGTTACCCGAACAAGACCCCATCGTGTCACGCGCCAAAAAACGTTTGCACACTGAAGGAATCGGTGGTGGATGAGCAGGAGGTTGAGCAGGAACAGCCATATCCTGCTTCAACCCAACGACCCCCGGGAAAACGAATGCCACAACGCTAAGGCTGGAGTGCGTTTGCTTTTGTGAAGTCTGGCATGCCCAGGGAACTGCCGTCGCAGGGCGCTCAACCTTCACTCGCCCTGGCTGGGCGCGCCTCGCAGGAGGCTCAATCCGCGCCGGCCTGCGTGCGCACCCTCTCTCGCGGCGGCGGATGCATTGACACGAGGCCTGCCTCGTGCGTTGCTGATTCCTCACCGTCGTCTATACCTCAAAGGGGCTGCTGGGACCAGTCTCGGCACTACCTGGGGACCTCCCGGGACCAGTTTCTGCGTTACCTCACAAGCTGCTGAACAAAAGAGTTGCGGGTGGCCGTGTGGGCCGCGAGGCGAATGGACGTGCATCTGAAGGGGTACTCGCAAAAGCGCTGTGGGCACGAAGTTATGCGGGGACAGCCGGCAACCATCACCACACCGAGTGCACACCCTGGAGGGGTGTCCTGTGCATGCCGACAATCGTCAAACACCGAGGCCAGCTTAGTGACGGTTGTGTTCGATGTGGCGTCCCAGGACTGCCGAATCGACCACAACCAGAACCGAAAGAGCTCATGTCGAGGTCGGTGGGTTCTTCGCCAAAAGAGGCCTCCCGAAAAAGAAAACACTTCTATGGTGTCGTGGCTTTGTGGTGCCCAGAAATTCGGCCACAGAGAGAACTGGAACTCCGGGTGACGTCAGACCTCGGCACCGTCGATGACTGCGCACTGCGTTCTGTTCTGGGTGGGGAGCGGGGACTGGCAACGAAGTGATCGGGTTCCCCATTGCTCACGCATTGATGCGCAATGTGACCACACAGGAGCCCAGCCCGTTCTTCCAGCCACCCTGGACGCGCTGCTTCTGTGAGCAACTTGCCCACTCCTTCAGCCCTAAACGCCCTCCAGACGGTCGACCTGAGCGGCCATTGAGCATCGAGATGTGGAGCAACTCTCGAGCCTCAGGAGGGCAACGCTTTCCTCTACATGTGTCTTGTTGACGGCGGGTCCAGCTCCGTTTCGGCCTCGGGCTGCACAGTTCTCATCCAGGTGGTGGGTTCGGCTTTTATGGTACCTCCGATGTCGAACGTCAGTAGGCTATCGATCGTGGCGACTACGATCCCAACGGTAGACAGGTCGACGGTGTCCGATTTATTTCCCGCAACGTTACCCTTGCGAAGGGAGTCCCACTCGTTGCTGTAGAGATGCAGCTCGTCGCAGATCGAGATCACCACTCTGTGGTTCACTGGTCGGGTAAGGGTGTCCATCGAGCAAGCTTGGGTTATTCTGGTTCGCTCAGTGTTCTGAAGGAAGAGCTCCGCTATCGTGGGCAATCTATCGTGGTTGCCGCCATCCTTCTGTGGGAACAGCCTGGGGATGATCATGATACTGATGAAGCTGGGCGTGAGGAAGCAGGAGACCGAGGAGGATCCGCAGCGGCAGGCTCAGTAGAAGGAGCGGGCGGAGCAGGAGGACCAGGGGGAAGTCGCAGGAGGGGAACAAAGAGGAGGGAGCAGCGACGCTGGGCAGGCGGAGGGAGGGGAAGGACCTGGATCCAGGACTGTGGTCCGCACCGGGGCGGGAGAGCCGCTCCCAGGGACGGGAGCACACCGCCGACGCTGACGCGATGCCAACGCTGCTGGCGGAGCACCGCCTTGAAGCATCGCACAAGTTGCGACCGACACGCAGAGTATAGAAGAAACGCTGTGGAATCGCACGCGCGACACGCACTGCCCGGGAAGAGGGAGGTGCCGTTCGGAGAGAGGGTAGGAGGAGGAGGAGGAGGCAGGAGGAGGAGGAGGAGGAGGAGGAGGAAGAGGAGGAGGAGGGGGAGGAGGAGGAGGGGGAGGGGGAGGGGAGGGGGAGGAGGAGGGGAGGAGGAGAGGAGGAGGAGGGAGGAGAGAGGAGGAGGAGGAGGAGGAGGTGTGAATGGAAAGCGGAGGTGAAGGAGACACGGAGCGCGCAACCCTGTGGCGCACATGCTCGCCGCCAGGAGTACTGCCAGACATCCCAGCGTACCATCGCTGAGATGCACGAGAGTGCTCGAGGCCACGCCACCAAAAGCTCCCATCTTGAGCCATCCACCTTCGGCCCCCTACATGAGCCGACCTGAATTTGAGAGCCTCAAGCAACGCATGAAACGCCTAAGCAGCAGACAGAACTAGGAAACACAAGGAGAGCTCGCTCGATGTGAAGTCCTCCACGATGGGCCGCGGGTACGGGGCCTTGTTCACATCCTCGGCCAACAATTGCATCGAAGCGTATCAGTGCGTGCATGCCTTCCAATGCAACCCACACCAAGCGGACTGGAGAATTGGGAGGGCAAAGTGCTGCGCTCCATCGTGTCTAGCATGGCGGATTCCCCAAACAAACTGTCCTTCACATTTCTTCGACATTTGGGTGGGAGCCTTTCCGGATTTGGAATCGGTAACTCATGGTCTCTCGTGCGGTCTCCCGTATAGTCTCCCATGTGATCTCCCTTCTGGTCTCGCGTGTGTCTCCACATGGTCTCCCGTATCGACTCCCCTCTGATCTGATGTCCTGCCCCTCTTCTCCCATATGGACTCCACTATGGTCTTCCTACGGATCTCCCGTAGGGTCTCCGTATGGTGTCCCTCATGGTGTCCTTGGAGATGTCCCTTGTGGTGTGCCGCATGGTGTCTGCTGTGGTGCGCCTCAAGGTCTCCTTGCTATTACTATCTGGGGTACTCCGTGAACGACTCTTCTACTACTTATGCACGTTGTGCAACGATGCCAAGAAGAGTATGTCACAACTGTTTAGGGTCCTCCGCCGCCAAGGCGCTTTGCTTTGGGCTCCCTAGCACTCGAATCGTCCTCGAATGACTCGGCACTCTGCAGCTCTGGTTATTCCACCTCCGCTCCCCCGAGAGCCAAACTAGACACCAACGCCCACTGTCCATCGATCGGACCCCTGGCTCGGCCCAATCACCAAGTCTCGATGGCCAACAGCCGGCGAGACCCATTCAGATCCGTAAGTTCGCCATCCAAACTGGCCAACTGCGTATCACAGTGACGGGTACTGCAATGTGAACTTGTCAGTTGCATGCGACTAGCACCTATACTGTGCAGACTAGGACGGCACTTGGGTATTTGCGCACTCGGGATGTGCAAGCTGTGGTGCAATTTACGTGGTGCAAGCTATGTGGTGGTGGTGGTGGTACAATCTATGTGGTGGACGGTATATGACAATGTACATGTGGTGCATGCCGAACGGTGCACTTTACGTGGTCCAATGAGCTGTTGGCATCCGCTCGTCACTACCTCCCATGCTCTAGCAAACACTCCTCTCACGCACCCGCAACTTGTAGTACAACGCAGGAGGCCTTGAATGCAGTTACCCATCAGAGCTTGTTGGCAAATTCGCCGACCACTTGGGTCTCCTCAGCGAGTGGAATGGTTGCCCCTCCGCAAACCCCTGGGAACTTGGTCCGGCCACTTTGGAGGAGCGACCGCCACACTCCTCTGGCACTGCAAAACTCCCCAACGAGGGCCGTTACACGGGCCAATATGGGCGCCGGGCTGCTCCAGATGGTCTCCCAACGGCCCGCGTTTAAACACAGATGGCCCCAGATGGCCTGACCTGAAGACAACCCAAGAAGCCCCCAAGACGCCCCAAGCGGGCTCTAAAAGGACAGGCAAGCGGACCACAAGAGGCTAAACTCGCGCCAGTCCCATACAGACACGTATGTGTTCAGCGCCTTCGCTTTTTAGGTCCACGTAGCGTCCACGACGGGAGGACAACATAACACCATTGACTATGTCTACTCCAGCTGCGAAGCCCAAGCTCCAAAGGAGCGCCAACAAGCACGCCTGCACGACGAGCACAGATGTCAAGGCGAGAATGACCCTGAGCCTTATGGCATGCCTGTCATCACTGCATCGGATTTTAACGCGCCCACGTTGTATGCAAATGCCCTGCGCTGAAGAACACTACTCGGAGGCAACACCTGGCCTCGTGGAGCCCATCCAACAAGAACGTCAACACCTCGCACTCAAGGATAGATTGAGGGAGCAGACCGCAAAGGGAAGGGCATGCATCCGAACTTGCAAAACACGCCGCGACAAGGCACGCCTGCGCCCACACCATCAAAACAACACTCCCTCGAGAAATACGAATCATTGCCGTGCAAGTCCAATGCAACCCATCTTTGGCGGTGCATCATTGCATACCTGGTACGTTCTGAGCTCGCGCACAGAAAGCGGACTGCAATCACCAACCCCTTTGAAGTACCCGTTGTTTTGATCATGATGAGAAGGAGGAGGAATAATAGGAGGAGGAGGAGGAAGGAAAACGACCGCGGAACTTCACCTGACTTGGCCCCGACCGCTGTGCGAATCGAAAGTCGCCGGGCAAACTGCGGACACGACACGAACCGACCTGCGATAAACACATGCATGCCCTGAACCGTCCAGCGTGATAGAAGCGAGAGAAGAGGGATAATCGAGGGGAAGAGAGCGCAACAACCTGACAAACGACACACAAACTGACAAACGACAACGTGCAGCGGACGTCGTAAGCATATGCCAGATCAATCTGATTTGTTTCGGGGGGCGGGCCAACGTGTAAGCAGCAAGCAGAAGCTTCATGCTTCAGATTCTATTGTATGGGTCACCCGACCTGCAACAACCAACAGAGCACCAATGCACTGGCGGATCATCTGCAATTCCGTAATTGCCCGGCCGGCCCTGCGAGAGCAACGCCGATCGTCACTCTTCCGCATCGCTTGTCAATGCCGGTCGGCTGTGCCACGGCATGGATGAAGGGGCCCTGGGACACACAAATAAATACACACAAATCAAAAGACTCCCCATGTTTCTCATATGTTCTGGGCTCTTGCCTTCCCCCCAAAGTCCAATATTTTCCCATACTTTCTGGGGAATCGACGACTCATCGTGTCTGTGTGTGTTTTTCCCCTCCGGAGTGGACCCGTCCAAGCGAAGGCTGCTCGACGGAGCCCGCGGGCGCAGTCGCGCAGTGGTGCCCACGCGTGAGAGAGCCGCCGACGTGCGGGCGGCCGCAGTGGTGCACACGCGGACGAGGACGCGGGGGGCTCCGACGCTGGACGGCCCGTCTCGACCCTGGGAATCGCGAGGGGAGCCACACCGACGAACAAGACAGCACACACCCATGCCCATAAAGGGGGTTCGTGGGGAGGAGGACTGGCTATTGAAGGGGCCCCAGGACACACAAATGAATACACACAAGTAAAAAACAGTCCTCATATGTTCTTACATTTTGCTGGGTTTCCGTCTTCCCCCCCACTGCCGATATTTTTGCATATCTTCCTGGGAGTCGACGATGAATTGTGTCTGTGTGCTTCTTTCCCTGACGAACGAACAGCACACACCCGTACCCATAGGGGGGCTCGTGGGGAGGAGGACTGGCTATGGGTATGGGTGCGGGTGGTCGGACCCTGGGGAACGCTCCCGGTCGAGCCGGGCCCCCCGTCCGACAGCACGCACCCATAGCCCTCTCCGAGACCCCCTCCTGGGTATGGGTGTGTGTTGCTGGTTCGTCACCACACTGCCATCCGGTCGCAGACGGCAGGGCTGGGGGAAGAGAGCGAGGAGGAGCGCCATGGGCAGAGGGACCGGTGCGCACCGCAGAAGGAGCGCACCGCGGGCGGAGAGCCTCCTGGGCGTCGTGCTGCTGGTAGCCCCCGAACTCGGGCCGCCTCGTGGGCGCAAGCTGTAAGCTGTGTTCCCGGCGGCCCCCTCCTGTATCGGATCGCACGCTGTAACAGCGTAGCTCGTCCGCTGAAGCTACGATTGCATCTGTCGCAATGAACCGCTGTTCTGCAAAGCGAGAATCGCCCCCGCCCCCACCCGCTTTGAGGCCTCCAAACTACGAATCCTTATCAAACTTGCGGCTGGATGAGGAACACCAGAAAAATACATTTGCTATGGCCTTGGTCGAGCAAACGAGAATCAAATGAACCTGGCGCGATCATGAGTCGGATTGTTCTGCCGCAGGAGACGTAATGAAGCGAAAGGTAGGCTGCATGTACGATTGGCGGCTAGCTGATGAAACGCAGCGAAATACAGACGCAATGTTAAGACTACAATGCGCAGCAGTGAGAGGCAAGGGATGCACAGGAGCGCAAGGCTTTGCAACACAATGCATAATTACCCCAAGCGTTGCAATGAAACTCAATGAACTCCAAAACGAATCCAGTACACATCAGTTCACAGCAATGCGACACAATGCTAACCACTGTAAGTCAATGGACCTATCATACCGCAAACAGGGCAGCGTAAAGCAAGACAACACACATCAAAACACGTTAAAACCGCAGTGTTGAAATTCCGCGCAAAATTCAACACAGTACGAAGCTCTGTAAACCGTTCCTGATGGGGTACAATGTGCAGAGACAACTCCAAATCATGCCAACACAACACAATACGACACAAGTGAAACAGGACCCATGGGGAACCCGGGGAGCCCCAAAGACCCCGCGGACATGGCCATAATCGCCGCAGGTCCTCTTGCACGTAATGAGTTCGACCCTTGAGGAAAAACCTAATTAAGGACAACTGATCCACGAATTCCCAACGAACCCGTCATAGCTTCATCCGCGGGGATCTCACGAGTAAGTGGCTACGACATGGTCAGCCGAGAGGTTGTCAGGTTGTGAACACTGTACCAAGCAAACTCTTCCGAAGTCAGCCACCTCAGTACCCCGTCGTAGACGCACTTTGCGAATCAGAAAAAGAGACGCTGCACCGCTCGCACCATCCGCCACCGCTCGCACCATCCGCCACCGTGCACCCTGGCACGCTGAGGCGTGACAGAGTGCTAAGTGCTGCCTGGTAGGGATCACGCACGCAATCTTCCTAAGGGCCCCCCCCCTGCTCTACTGGCGGGCTGTCTCGCGTGCACCGCCCTGCCCTTCTGAGGCTACGGTCCTCAGAAAAAAAAACTGGGTCCGCGCTTCCGAGGCCTCGACCCCCACCAATACAGCAAAAAAAGCCGCGCTCCCAAGGCTCCAAGGCGGCCCAGGCAGGTAACCAAGGCCAAGATGGCCCAATGGTGCTCCAAGACGCCCGAACGTGGCCCGAGGTCCAAGAAGGCCCAAGAGGGCCTCCAGATCGCCCGAGGTGCCTCCGAGAGGTCCGCAGAAAATGGAATCATTGATTGCAATCTACTCAAATTTGATGAGGAACCGGGTCCTCGCCGCTTCTTTCTTCCGTCGGCTCCAGGCGGCCCAAAAGCCTCCAATCTGGCCCCAAGACTGCCAAGAGGCACTAAAGAGGGTTCAAACACGGTCCAAGAGGACCCCGCGATGGCCAAAAGGGCATCCAAGACGCCCCGAGAGGGCCTCCGCAGAGACCCAATACAGCCTGGAAGGCCCTTCGACGGCCGAAGACGGCACCGAAAAAGCCCGATGACACCCCCCAAACGGACACGACGGCCCAATACAGCTCCCAGACGCCCCTAAGGAATCCTCGAGATTGCCCCTCAGAAACCCAAGTCATCACCAAGACGGCCCTGACGAGCTCCGTGAGAGCTGCACAGACAGTGAACACGAAACATGTGAAATGTTACGATCATCCTCCTGCTCCTCCTCCCGTTCATCCTCCTGACAGTTTGCGCGCCCAAAAAACGTCTTGGCTGAGATGAGCACGCAACAATAATTCGATCCGAGTCCTGCCATGCCCGCATGATTGGAGCACGCATTTGAAAAGTCAAATAGAAACAAATCACGCCACAGTTGGCAAAGGTGCAATGACTGCGCCAGCAACAGCAAAGGCGCACCTCTCTGCGATGAGCTGCTTCAACTCACTGGGAAACAGCACCGTGTGCGTTCCAGCCCACATTAGCCTGCACACTTGGAGACACCAGCTAACGAGAATGCAGGCCAATTGAAAGTGAGCACCCAGGGAATAAACGACACGTTCGATAAGTCAACTTGCGACACCTGCTTCGCACGGTATTGAGGATGATGGGCTTACGTGTCGAATGCGGGTCAACGGAGTCGTACACATTTAAGGATTGCCATCACGAACAATTGCGAGATCTTTCCTGTTCTGGCCATTCGATACAGTGTCCAACGTCTGGCGTACTCACGGGGCCAAGCGTGCACGTGGGGTTTCGAAACTGAATGTTTATCATAGCTGGCGACCGCAGAAGATTTCTCTCTCTCTTCACTTCCTCCCTGCGCGTTGGCCAATTAGCAGGGCGCTAAGTCCGCAACGAGTTTCCGGCCAACACGTCCCTACATTTTGACAAGGTCGCCGCCCCAGGTCTCAACTCTCAGACTGTACACGACACGCAGATACGATATCGCGCGGCGAAGCACACATATCTATACGTATCTATGTAAATATGTATATATACGTACGAGTATCTGCTATTGATGTGCGCATGCAGATACATCCAAGCGCGGGCTTAAGATAGTGTGATACCAGCCCGGTCCAACATCGATCCACACGCTGCATGTCCTCTGTCATGTGCAACAAGCCCCATACACATACCTCATGTAATACATCCCTCCCCTACCCCCGTTATCCCAAACCTTCCTCCATCTCTCGCTCCCTCCCCCCTCCCTTCCCGGCCCTGCCTCCACCTTCTCTACGCCGCAAAAATTATACACAGACGCCCTCCGACGAACTCTGCATGTACCTTCACGGAGGGCGGCGGTGTATGAAGCCGCTGGCTCTCAGTAGTGACTTATACACCGCCATCCTCCCCTGAAGCCCAGAAGAAATCCATTGGAGGGTGTCGGTAGATAATTTTGCGGCGGATCCTCCCTCCCTCCTCATTCCCTGCTCTCCTGCCCCGTCCTGACCTCGGACTTGCTGGGCAGGCCTGAGCAACTCGGCGAAGCTGCTGGCCAGCCGCCCGCTCATGCCGAGCGGGGCTGTGCTGACATGCTCCTTGAAGTCGCCCGACCTTGCGGCTGCGCGGGGGGGGCAGGCGACAGGCCCCCCCCCTCTGCTGGTGGCCTGCCTCGCGTCTCATCGGAGCCTGCAACTGTGAAGTGCCCATATTTTCCCATAGATCCTGGGTTGTTGTCTTCCCCCCCACTGCCCATATTTTCGCATATTTTCTGGGGAATCGACGATCAATTGTGTCTGTGTGTTTTTCCCCCTCCTGAAACTGGCAGCGCAGGGAGGCAGCAAGAACGAATACCACTGGACCTAGGACAGAAAGACATCCTTCAAATACACGAGGCAGTCCACCGGCCAACACGAGGAGCATTCGAGGGCACGCTCCCCCAGGATGCGCAAGAACATCCAACAGGCACGAAGAACATCAGGATTCCCACTGGGCATCGCTCGGACGTCCATTCCCTGTTTTTGTTCGGTTTCGTGCGTGTTTTTGTTGCCAAATGATCAAGGATGCTCCTCGATGGCCCTCGCCAAAGGAAAAATGCACACGTCCGAGCGATGCCAAGCCCAAGGTACCCTCCCCGAACGTGCCTCGATCTTTTGCCTCGGTCCGACCGTCGCAAGGGCGAACGAGTCTGTGCGTGACCTCAACGTGACAAAACCAACCTCTTGTGGGCTCCTGTGAGAACCGCTGGAAGCCAGTGTCGTTCTGCACCAGAATGTTGTTTGGTTTGCTGCTTCCCCATTGACCAGGTCGACACACGAACCCAGAAGAGGGACTTAGACATGCAAGGCGTGGGAACGAGTCGAAGCACCTAAACTGGCTTCAAGCTGTATTGAACTGTGCCGTGTATCGAGACGTCTTTCGCGTTTGAATGCTGACGGAACTGATCTGGAGCGTAAACTCCCGCTGCCTGAACGCATGGCTGGCCACGAACTGTTTGCGGTCGAACAGTGCGGGACGCTCAACAAGCTCGAGCTCAAGGTCTTACAGTCAAAAACCCTAATAAGGACGCGCGGTAAGGACGCAAGACCCTTGGAAGCCGAAATTGGGATTTCTGGGGCGGCGGACGACGGAAACCTCGAGACGCAAGAGCAAGGAAGAGCAAGGACGCAAGGGTACCCTGAGCAAAGTCGCGCGTCCTTATGTATGGTTTTTGACTGTATGCAGTTCCAAGGCGTGACGAAGCGAGGGGGGCGCGAGGCCACACCGAGACTGCGCACCGAGGAGGAACGAACCGAACTGCGGAGGACGCATGGTGTCAGCTCACATGCGAACGGACCAAATGTAAAAACCACATTCGGGGATGGACAGACCCCCCTTTAGTAAAACGTGGTTTAGTGAAAACGACCTGAGGCCAAAACCTGGCGGGCGCAAGCCTGGAAACTAACGGCCACGGCGTCCTCTCGAGAATCGAAAACGGACCATTCACTAATCGACGTGTCACTGTTGGGGGTTCTGCCACTCCCCGACACATGGTTTCAGATCACGGGCTGCTTCTCCAGTAAACGGATCGACTCACGAACCCAGAAGAGGGATTTAGGCATGCAAGGCATGGGAACGCGTCAAAACACCCAAACAGGGCGATGTGCAGCGGCCGTGCCGAGTATGTCGATGGTGATGGTGAGTTGGCCAAGGGGGCCGAGCTGTGCCGTGCTGTGCTAGATTGTGCCGCGCTGAACTGTGCTGCGGACCGAAACGCGGCGCACACAGGGTTTCAGCTCACCAGGGAAAAGATCAAAGGCACGAGGCACACGGTTTCCGCTCACAGACGAAAATACCCAACGCCGAAAGCACCGGGCTCGAGCCACGGGCGAAAGGGCCCCACGTAAACAAGCACATGGCGTGAGCCGACGTGCGAACGGAATCCATATAACAACTCGTGGCTTCCTCCTCCTCTGGGAGCTCCGCAGGGCGGGCCCCTCGCTCGAGGCTTCCTCACAACTCACTCACGAAGGGAGCCCTCGCTCGAGACATCCTCCAAACTTCGAGCCCATGTGAAAACATATAGTGCTGACTCACGGGCGAAAGCATCCAACGTAAATCACACGGTGTGAGACCACGATCGAAAGGCACCCATGTAACAAAAACGGCGACAGGAACGCCTGTAAAATGCGATGCAACCCATCCCTCCGCGCACGTGCTTCTACATGTTGGGAGCCCAACGACCTCATGCCAGATGCCACCCTGGCTGGCCCGGACAGGCGAAAACCCATGTCAAGTGCACAAGCGCCAGGCCGATGATATATACCCCCTGCTTGCGCGTGCCTGTACGTGTGCACAGTCGTAGCAGACAACAGCGACACACATAGGTCGGTGCGCCATCAATTTGAAATACATCTTTACACGGCCAACATATCTCGCATACCCCAGGCCCATATCCCAGCTAGCTGCTTGTCACTACTATACAGCGATGGTGACACTATGGCAGGCTCGAACGTGCTTAAAGAATATGGGACGCCCCTTGGCACCAGTCTCCTTGGCCATCCGCGCAGCGAAGTGGAACGAACGTGTCGCCATGCCAATTGCACAAACACTCACAGATTCCGGATACGGTGTGAGACATAGAACATACACTGAGTAAGCGTACGCAACAGGCTACAACTGTATGGCAGCAATGCCGCGCACGAATGGGATGGGTAAAGGCGGGGACTTGTAGTAGTGTCGCAGAGGCACCTGCACCACACAAGACACATGGTTCAATGCCGCACAAAAGAACCGCACGCAATTCACGTTGCACAAATGCAGTCACTCAATTTCGAAATCAGGCCAGAAAACCTCGCATGCACCTTCGACTCCAAACCCGCTACTGGGGTAGCGCTGAAGGATACTCTGAGGATGTGAAGCTTGCACTGTTATCGACAGCACCGCACGACCAAGCAACTCCAAAAAAGACTACACGTACGTGCGGCAAGGGGTGCGCACGCATGCAATAGCGCGATCACCCGTGGCAGCGAAACGCGGCAACATGCGCGCATACGAACGCAACTCACTCTCACTCGCATGCGAGTCGGGATTGCATCATGGCACGCCACATGCACTGCACACCTAGTAAAGCCACATCGGAAGCGTACAACAGAGCAGGAGTGGAATGGCATGCCCGACCCAAACGAGGATGAAGAGGATCTGATGGAGAAGAAAGCAACACAGGCACATCAGATGGGGGAACGGCTGGCAACAACAAGCACGCAATGCGGGCCGTAGACTGCGCATTCGTTCAGCATCCCTCCGACCAAGAACCGCTCCATATGGTCAAAACAACAATGATGAGGACGCTGCGGTGTGGGAGCACCATGGAGAAACATGGCACAAGACGTGTGCATAACATACGGACAAAACAACAACTTGCAATGGAAAACCGATGCAAGGCGTGAGCACCGTGTTCGACAAAGCCTGCGCACGCAACAAGGGGGGTGCTGAGGGAGGAGATTCGAAGATATTGTAGAGACACTGCAACCGCAGACGGCCATCCTTACGAGCGGATGGACGACGCCTACTTGATCGACTACTACGGGTTAATCCATAGTGTGGGATGCGAATGATACTCCACAACTCCATCTAAACCAGGAGGTGGCGACAAGGTGAGTAGATTACTCTGGTTCGCAACTTGCCTGGATGACGCTCCCCAATCAAGAACCATCTCTAAATCCTAGCGGAAACAATGGCGAAAGCAGAACAGCCCCTATTCCGCATGAGAAGTCATATTCAACACACGTATTATTATCCGCTGTGATATCATTAATCGAAACGCAGCTATGCGATCCCTCTTGGTTCTACCCCACTCTTCTGGGTTGAGATGGTCACGGGCTCTCGACTGAGGCTCGGAGATCCTTACACCGCACAGCTAATAATGAAGATTTGGCTGGGCGGGGTCGCTCTTTGCAGATACGTAGGGGTTTCAACTTTCGCGTACAGAGCTTCGCGCTGTTGAACGGCCGGGCGCGTTACCATCCCAACTCGAGGTCTTAAAAAGTTGTGAGCATCAAACACAACTGCGAAATCGCGACCGCACAGTGTTACAGGATGTCGAACGAGCTGCGTTGGCAGCTCCGCTGACTCCATGGACGCCCTGGGATCCCTCGACTTCCCCAAATCCCAACACCTCATCGCCTCACTGGAGCCCCTAGACTTCGGAGACGCCCTGGACTCCCTCATGAACCCCGCCCCCAGACGCGTGGAACCCCTTGACCCCATCGAACCCAATGGGCCCCCTGGACACCCTGGACCCGCTTTGAGCAGGGACCGACCGTCCCGGCATTCCTATAGTCCTACCACGAAATGTTCGTAGAACCCAAATATGTTCTAAGAACAAAAACCAACGTTTTCAGAATAAACCCGATGTGTTAAAACAAGACAATCTCAACCAGAAGTGTTCTGAGCACAATTCGTGGAAACCTTAAAAAGGTTCTTAGAACATTGTTTGGTAGGGCTATAGCCGAGCCAGGACGCTTCGCCACTGCTTGAGGCTCCTGGACTCCCTGGCCGCCGTGGGCCCCCATCTGGGCTCCCTGGCCTCCCTACTGGCTCCCTGGACCACGTGGACCTCGTGGGCTCCCCAGACTCCCTGGACTCCCTCCTCCTCCTCCTCCTACTCCTACTCCTCCTCCTCCTCTTCCTCCTACTCCTCCTCCTCCCCCTCCTCCTCCCCTCCCACTCCTCCTCCTCCTCCCCCTCCTCCTCCTCCTCATCCTCCTCCTCCTCTGCACTCTGGACCCCTGGACTCCGTGGGCTCCCCAAACTCCCCAGACTCTCTGCCCTCGATCGCACCTATACAAACTCCCTGATGGCCTCCCCGGTCTGCTGAGGCGCACCAGACCCCCCGAACTCGGACCAGACCCCCTGCACTCCCACGGGTTCCCCGCAATCCTTGGAAATCCACAGGAACTCCCTCTGGACCTCCAAGGCGCCACAGATCTCCCAGAGCCCCGTCATCGCGCTGGGACGGAGACCCCCCCCTGGACTCCCTGCCCCCCCCCCCCAAGGCTGCGTGGCCTCAGCGTCCCCAGATTCCCTGGACGCCCTTGGCGTCACAGTATCTTGGACTCTGTGGGCGCCTCGGACTCCCAGGATTCCATGCACCCCCTGAACTCACTGGATCCCCTAGTATCTTCCAGCCCCCTGGGCTCCCCAGGTTCGCTGGGACTCGCTGGGCTCCCCAGACTCCCCAGACTCCTGTTGCCAATTGCTTTGTGCCATACGCCATGGAACCATCGTCATACGTCATACATGAGGGATCGTGCAAACATAAAGCCGATGGGGCACCCTGACATGCTCAAATACACCAGATACACCATTTTGGGTAAGTAAGAATCTATGTGCGTGCGGCGGGCTTTGGTTCTGATTGACAGTGTAAATTGATGCATTGATGAATTCGGGGGGTCACTTCTAGACGCTCCTGAAGGGGCTATGGCTCCTCCTCCTCCTCCTCCTCTTGATCCTCCTCATCCTCCTCCTCTTCTCATTATCCTTCTTCTTCTTATTCTTCTTCCTCCTCCTCCTCCTCCCCCTCTATTATTTTCACTCTCGTCATGCACCCCTTCCTCCTCCTGCCCAAGGAAGGGGGAACCAGCAGCTGCCGATACCGCTGTCCCCGGGACCTCTCCAGGGGGCGCTCTGCCCAGGACTCCGCAGCGCATCCACGGCGACGAAGGACTTCCAGGGAAGGCCTCCCAGGAAGGATTTCCATGGCGACGAAGGACTTCCAGGATTTCCACTCCCGACGAAGGATTTCCATGGCGACGAAGGATTTCCAGGATTTCAAGGAGTTCCATGGCGACGAAGGGTTTCAACATGTGTTACTCCTTTGCCAATCATCTCCCGCACCTCGGCTGCACGCCAGAGTGCCCCCATGAACAAGTCACCACCGTTGGTGCGCGGCTTCCCACGGACCGCAGGGAGGCCAAAAATCCAAGCGCGCAGGGCCGGTGCTGGGGCACTCTGGCGAAGGGTCACTCTGTATGTGCAAATTTGTGTCGTGCCGACTTCGGCGTTGGCTTCTGACACCGCGGGGATCATTCAGCTTTGAACGATCGGCAGTTTTCAAACCGTCAGACCGTTCAACATCGACAGATTCTGGGCCACGGGCGGCGTTCAACGTTGAACGCTGGCGTCGGGGTCGTCGCTGGTCGACACGACGAGGACCTACCGTATGTGCAGTCGAGCACCGTGGCGCTCCCCCAGGCCTGCAGCGTGGAGTTCATGAAGCAGGTGTTGCCCAGGTTGCGCAGCCCGCACGCGCCTGGGGCCTCGCATTTGCCCAGTGTCGCCGCCTGCGCGGGCATCGA